GTTTTTATAGGTTATACTAGCATAAAAGAAAAATTGTCGTTACAATCTATCATTGATCCTATTCTCTTCTCCTCTTTCGACGTGAAAAAAAAAAAAAATAACAGGAAAAAAAAGCGGAATAAAAAAAAAACCTTTCGTCCATTTCGCGAACTTCGTTAAATGGTCCACGATAAATGTTTACTATACACAGCGATTCTGGATCGTGTTTCGTTTCAAACTCCATAGGTTCGTTTCTAAATAGACGTTCGTCCCTTTTCTCTCTTTCTTTCTTTTCTTTTTTCGTTTGCTGTTTTCCGTATTTTTCCCTTCTTCTTTTTTCATTTATTTTTGTTTTTATTTCTCTCTCTTTCTTTACCCATGTTACCCGTAAATTTCTGTCGGTATTTTCGGGAGGCGTGCACGAGAGGACCGCGCATGCGCATTCACGATCGAAACAATGCCTCTATTTCCATCGTGTTTCTGGCGCAACCGGCTTTTCGTAAATTCGAACCATTAAATATGGACGGACACGTCTACGTTTATGGGGATACGCGGTTTGGATCGATCGTACTATCGAGGATCGAATCTACAGCAGGAGGCCTGTTTGTCAATCGGAACTGTCTTCTCGTGTCTCGCTTCGCATTCGATCAATGACACCAAAGTTTATGCGTGCGTCGGTATGTATAAAATGGAATACTGTGTATTCGATATTTCATGTAACGTATATTCGATATTCTATACCGATTTGGAATATATATATTGGAAATTTATAAACAATATTTTTTAGATTAATTTTGTTTTCAAAAATAATGCATTTTTACTATTTTTTCATTGAAAATTTTAACCAAACAAAACAAAAATTGTACTTTTTGGAAGAGAAAGGAGAAAGCGATGTTGTTTTTGAAAGATAGAAAGTGGCGTCGATCGACGACCATCCAACTACGTTATTATTACTCTTCTGATTAGTGGTGCGCGAGATGCTAAGAATAGCATTGAAAGTAAATTGATCGCAAACGTTTTAGTACGATGCGTTTCTTAACCAAGTAAAGTGCTTTACCATGTACTTAATGTCTAAGGAGCTTTACCCTCCTTTAGAAATTAATAATAATAAATCACCACGTTTCTTAAGAGAGTAATGATTTTATTGAATTATATGATTGAATTATTGATTTATATGATTTCAGTAATTAGAGATCGTAGAAGATATATATATTAATTTATTCTTATTTTATTATTCTTTTATTCCTTTTTTCTAAAAAGATTTTCATTTGCATATTACAAATATCGTTATATTATTATTTAACATGAATATTCAATTATTAGGAAAACTTCTTTATTAGTTTATTAAATTATTATGAATTATTAAGTTACGCAGGTATCGATAATAGATTGTTCCTTTGACGAACGTGCTACCAACAGTGCTTAAGGATTTCGTGCTCTTGGTGTTTAGCAAACAAGCTTCGCATTATGTAAATCTGGTTGACGTAAACTGTAGAGATCCGTGATGGCATAACATCGGTGCGAACGTTTGTTGCCACTAGCGAGAAGGAAGAACTTTTAGAAACTTATCACTATTTAATTGAATTTTAACTATATTTACATTTGAGTATAATTGAACGAGAATTTTAATGAAATATGGAACATTGTCTCTGTTTTCATCTATTAAGTAAAAATAAAATCATTATTATATTAATTTTATCATTCAGAAAATACAAAAAAATGATACATCTTATGTTCTATTTTCTATAAAAAAGTAATTGTTAAATCTAATATTATATCAAACAATACATTATTAATCTAATTCTTTATTTTGATTTATATGATATTTAATATTTTTAATTGTTTCATCATGTATTTTAATTTTCTTTTTAAATAATTATAATTATTGTCAGATAATTTTTGATAAGCACGCGTGTAAAGATTTAAACATTCAGCTTATAAAAATCTTAAACCTTTAGTGAATTGGATCGATAAATTGTGTAACATATTCGAGAAGGAAATAAACAGAATAGATTAAAATATCTTCGTGCATATAAAACTTGGATCAAATTCAAATTCATTCACAAAATAATAAAACATTTTCTTTTGCCAGTTGGTCAATACTTTCGTACAGAATTATACCTTCAGAATAGCGAAAGATTGTTTTTCAAATCTTTATAGATATTATAATGCACTTCGTATCACATGAAACTATTAATTTTTTGATGAAACTTTTAATTTTGTACAATGAAATTCACTCACTCAGTGAATTTATTTTATAATTTTTATATATGAAAATATTTTCTAAATTTGATTTGTAAACTCACTACGGTAGGTAGATTTAAAATTTTGCCATGGTATCATATTTCTATGCTATCGTTATTGGAAAAAGGGAATATATCGAATGCAAAAAAAAGTTAATAGATTCCATATACTCCCTTCTTTTTGAAGACTTTTTAAATTATTCAATATATAGCGAATATTTCATCGAATAAAATCCATGTATTATTCGAAACAATAAATTAATTTCATATTAATGTAATGAAAAAATTATTATTTATTGATGTATATATTAACGTTATAACATTAATTTTAATCTAATTCATTTAATATATATATATTATCGTATTTTGTATATATTTATTATGTATATATTATATTTGAATGTGTTCGTTTAATATAGTTGTTGTTTAATCAATCTATTAAAATATTAATTTTATATGAATTTTAAATCAATGTTTACGATACCAATAAATCTTTCTTTTTCTTCTTCTTTTTTTGTAGAAACTTTTCTAACATTCTGATTCTTCGTACAATAAGAAGATAGAAATCTTATCGGCCGAAAGATGTGAAATTCGTGGTAGAAAGTAGGTTTATCCTCGCTATCGTACATTGTTAACGCAAACCTTATTGCTAAACTCGGCACGGCTTCTAAACACCGGATGTTTCATGCAACATTTAAGAAATCTCGGTTACGAAATTAATTTGGTCGTGACTTGAAAAAATAATGCAAAATTCAAAAACGAATCGACAAATTGGTAGTTTCAAAATTCAAATTCTTTTTCCGCTTTATATTCATTAAAGCATCGAAATGTGAATTTTTTTTATAATAAATCAAATTTTTTATAATTATTATAAAGATTTTTTATAATTATAATAAAGATATATATCGTACATATCTTTCCTAAATATGCATATAATTTTTGAATCCATCAATGACAAGAATAAATAAAGATTTAAATAACAAATGTATTTACTATACTTTATGAGAATTAAAGAGTCAATGATTAACAGCCACATTAAGTTTCGTTCAATTATTCGAATCTTCAAATGGATTAAAAAAAAGAAAAAAGAAAGAAAGAAAGTAGTAAAGATAAAATAGATATAAAAATTATGTATTTCGCTTTTCTTTCCAACGAGTTCCAACACTCACGGTTATCCTATCGCATAAGAAAAGTGAAAACGCTTCCTCTCTCACCGGGAATTGAAATGATTCGACATGAAAGTGGTTGAAACTGGATGGTATGTGTTGTATTGTTGACGATCATCAAATCCATTCCAGGAATAACGATTCCCTCACTTTCTCCCATCGTCATCGTTTCTTACCATAATTCCCCGGGGATAATTAACGATCGTCAGAAAAGGGCTTCTATATCGGATAAATTTTCTCTCTTTTTCTCTCCTTTTCTCTCCTTGGCTGAATCTTTGCTCAACAAGCTAATTAGTCGCGGATAATTATTAATTAAATAAATTCCATTCCATCGTGATTTATTCGTGAGATAACTTCATTTCTCTCGAAGAATTGATTTAATTGTTGAGAAACTATTAAATAGAATAAATTTGAAATATTCAATAATCAAGAAATTTAATTTAAATTTGATTTTTTTTTTTTCTTTGTTAAGTTTTGAAGTAAAATATAATGATTACTTAATTATAGTTTGATGGACAATGAGATTTTGAAAATGTTTAAAAAAATGTTCAATGGATCGAATAATTATAATAAATTAATTTGTTAAAGGATGGTAAATTTTTATAATCATATTAGCGAAAATAATCAATTTTAATGATTTAGATTTTCCGATGTAGAATAATGATAAAATAATGTCGGTAATGTTTTTCATTATGAAGCTGTTTATATTTGCTAAACTTGGAAGAAAGTATATAGTTAGAGCCGAGATCAAGATGATTAAAATCAATGTAATCAGCTGAGTTAATATCATTACTTTGCTATCTCCTAGCTATATTAGGATTATTATAACTTGTTTACAAATTCTATTAAACTTGTACTTCATTAACGACTTTAATATATAACTTTAGAAAAGTTAGTAACTTAATGCCTTAACAACAAGCGGAAAGATAAATTTTTTATTTAAATTTAAAATTTTGCTAATTTAAATATCTAGTAAAAATCATTCAAAAATATTTTAAGAATTTATCTTAAAAAAATTAAAAAACATCTCGGTTCAGCACTTGGATGAATAAATAATGAAAAAAATTTATTCAAAAAAATTAAAAAATGGTTTTGAGAATAAATATAAAATACGAAAAAGAAATAACACTTGGAAGATCATACGATAACTATAATGTTATCTTGTATTAATGTGGCGACAATGTCAGGAAATGTATTATGTATCAGTAGTATTAATTACCGATGTTATCGATCCTTCAATTGTTTTTTAGCTAATATTTTATGACGCAATCTATATCGATGATCCAAGATACGTACAATTATATATATCCGATTCCAAGAAAATAAAAAATAAATAAAACATGTTATTTCTATATTTTTCATACTCAAGAACGTTTTTCCTGGTGTACACCGAAAAACATCTATTTTTGTTTATTATTTGCAATTTATTTCTCAATTTTTATTTCCATCATTATTAAAAAGTGCATTCAAAAAAAAAAAGCTATTTAACGAAACTAACGAAATTAACATCTCGATTATGGAAGGTATATTGGAGGATATCGATTTATCAAATTCCTTATGAGAATGAAAATTTATCGCTATTAACAAGTAATGTTAAAACGCATTTATTCTATGACCCGAGAATTCATTTTATCAATCATATTTTTACGATTTCTTTTTTCATGCTATTCTGGAATTGACCAATGATTCCATTTATCTCTATTGCATTTTTAAAGACGAGAAAAAGAAAAAAATCCATAAAGAATTAAAAGAAACAAAAGAAAATAGTCAGTTCGCGATTACTTGGAATAATATTGCGATAAACGTATTCTCACAGGCAAGTAGCCATGATTTAATATTGAACGAATAATCGAAGCGAGGCAAGCTGCTTCTTCGATATATCGCTCGAATGTGACTCTCGATAGCGTGATAATATCGAAAATGGCGGATGTGAATGTGTCACGTTTCGAATATTCAATATTATTTTGTGTAAAAAAAAAATAAAAAAATGAAACGAAATAAAAGAAATAAGTAGAAATTCGTATTGCGTTTTTAAATAAGTGAATATTTCTAAACTAAAAATGCCGATTAAAAATTAAAGAGATTAAGGTTAGAAAATCAATTAAAGATAAGAGATTGAGGTTAGAACTTCATTGCTAAATATTTAACATATATAATAGCGAAAATAACATGAGAAAGTGATATTTGTGAATAAAATAAAGTGAGATAAAATTTTCCAATAACATGAATAATATAATTTCAAAAATAAAAAAAATATAAAAAGATAAAATATATGTAATGATGAGAAAGATGTAATTCAATATAAATAAAGTAAATATTTCTTAAGATGATAGATTGCAAAATATAATGAAGTAAAACAGATAGAGATAGAAATTGAATAAATGTAAGTTTTGTTTCCAAATCTGTATATTTTTCGTGCAAGAGGATGCATATATAGAGAAACTAAGTCGCTATTCAAGAAAAAGAAAATCAGACGTAATCCGCTTTTAAAATGCAATGTAGATGCAAGAAACTAATTGTGAGAGAAAATGAAAGTCGTGTTTCCAAATATTTATCAGATTATTGTAAACGAAGACGCAATATGTGGAATTGAGGTTACCTTGCAAGAAACTGAAGCTGATTCATTCAACGAAAAAATGAATCACCCAAGTATCAAACCTAAAATATCTAATCTATAAAGATTAGACGTGAAGGATTTGTAACTTCATTTTTAAATATTTATTATAACAAATATCGAGCACAATACGAATAATCAAAAATATCACGCATATAAAGCAAAATAGGAACCACATTTTTAGTTGCACAATAATCGACAAATAGAACATAAAAGAACGGAATAAAATCAAATTACGCTTTTAAACATTCGAAATAAAATAACCAAGCAAAGAATGCAACACTTTAAAACGAATGTACCTCGCAAGAGAACAAATCGACTATAAATCGCGTTTCCTATTATTATTCAAAGTAAAAAAAAAAAAAAAAAAATACCTAGGAATATGCGTCTCCATAAAGCGAGTGTCTGCCGCATTTTCAAATAAAATTTATCCGTGGTATCAACGTGTAAGGGAGTGATGCAAGGGAAATATGTGGAAAGGCGGTTTCCACGCGGCTCTGAGGTAAGAATGTAAGAACGCAAGGTAAACAAATCGATTTAATAGAGGGGATGAAAAAGGCGCGCAGTAATACGGACTTTTAGTTAGGTCTTATCGCATCGAAATCCACCGTTTCACTGGCATGACGGTGCTTTATCCAGCGGAAAGAGCTTCTAATATCGCATGCCGTTTATCGATTTATCCCTGGGACGACACACCACCGACACGTATTGCGGATCGTACGTTTCCAGTAGCATTCGTGGCATTTCCTCCAACAGTTCCAACGGCGAATCGATTTACATAAGAATTTCTGACTGTGTTCTGACGCTTTTCGAGAAAAAGAAAGAGGAGGGAAGAAAAGAAAAGAAAGGAAAGGAAAGGAAATGGAGAGGAATAGAAGATGAAGAGGGAAGTAAATACTTATAGGAGGAGGAAGTAGGAAGGGAGGCGATGGATGAAAAACGAAGGAGAATCGATAGTCTCTCGAGAAGGTGTCACTACGTATGGAGCACCAGATTTACCCACGTCACCGACTACTCAAGCATCCTGAAATAGCATACTTTTCTTCATCGATCAGTCTCGGTCGTCTGCACCAATCTAGTCGCTTGCAACCCCTCTCGAGAAGAGAAGACCGAGGGTCGAGGTTAACCAATTCCTTACTCGCGGTTAAATTATTCGAGAAGACCAACCTATTTGGGTGGTCTTGTTAAATTCCTTATTAAACGTTTGATAACGTTTTACTAAATTTGATTAATTTATATATATATATAGATACACTGGTATTTCTAATGAAATTTCTAATCTTTTTGAAATTAATTACAGAAAATAATAATTTAGATTTTTCTCTCGAGCAAAAAATTAGATTGAGTTTTTAAAGTTTAACACGATAAAATTGTTGTCGTTTACATTTAATTTTTAAAAATGTTTCTTCCTAGTATATACACGAGTGGTTTGAATTAGATAACATAGTTACCTTGTTTTTTATAGTGCATGTCTTCCTTATCAATTTTTAATTCGTGTAAACAAGAACATTCATTCAAAAATATCTTGAAAAAATTATTAAAAAATAAAAATTGCATTTTTCACAAATGTAAAGTCTATTTGAACAAGATAATATTTCGTCGGATATACGATAAAAATGTGAAGAAAGGGTTGATTTTAATGGGATAAGTGAAGGTTTGCAGTACGCGGCGTATACTGAATTCTCTATCAAAAAGAACATGAAAGGAACTTGAAAGCGCATTTTAAAGTAAATAAACATGTGTTTGGATGACAGGTGTTCATTTTCAAACAAGTGTACAAGAGTGAAAGAGGTCATGAATTTATTTCTCTTTTCTTTATGCTATTCGTACGCAGGATGTTATATTTTTAACCATGGTAAATATTTTAATATTTATTGTACCGATAAATAAATAATAAAAAATTGTAGATTTTTCTCTTTCATAAATTATATGCTATATATAATTTAATATTAATTTCATTTCAAAATATACGACATTTTCACATTTGGAGAGATTCTTTTATTTTCCGAATTAAAAACTAAAAATCGAGTTTTAAAATTTAACATTCTGAATATAGAATATACATGAAATATCAATATATTAAGCAATTTTATTAAATGTTTTTCAATGTTAATACAATTTAAATAACGAACGTAAAAAAAAATTCACAAAAAAAGATTTATTGCGAAATATTGAGAGATCGAGATCGTAAAAGTTAAATATTTTTTAAATTATATTCTTTATCAAAATTTTAATGACAAATGCTCTATGTATATAATGTAGAATTACATAATGCGTTCTAAACGTGTAATGTATTTTAAACAAAATTTTCAAAAAATCATTGCATTCTATCACTTATTAAAATAAAAATTAAAAAATTCCACATTATTTAAATTTAAAACTAATGACATACAATTTTTAAATTCCGTCATTTTTGTCGTAAATCAGTACAATTATATTACACGAGTAGTAATATAGTTATCGGATTTCGATGTTAGACGTAACCGATCAAAATTATCAACGTGTTCCTCGTGTAAATTTAATTAAATACTTGGAGAATGTTTGTGCAGACAACTAATCAAGTTAATAAATTCTTCCACACAATTTGTGACGAAATTTACGATTAACCGTAGAAATATCATAAATTCAAGAGATTCCAGATTTATAACTTGTGGATTTAAGGATTTAAGACGGTCATGATTATCTTTAATTTAAATTATGAAAAATTTCATTATAAAAATTTTATACTCTGTTAACTTGATTTTATTAGAAATATAAAAAGAAATTAAGGAATATTAATTTAAGAAAATGAAAGATGAGAATTAATATCCGTCTTTCCTTTATACCTATTTTCTCATATTCTGGCCACGAGTACAAGAAGAGAATACGCGAAATATGTTGGCTGTTGAACTGAATCGGAGAGTACGTGTCGGGTCGCCTATATTTAACATAGAAAGAACGCTGCTAGGAAGGGGATCGGATAGATCACGAATGCTATGGTGCATTATTGAGAATTCCTGCTCTAGGGATTCCACCACTATTCTCCGTTTCGTCGCTCGTGCTTTAATCCGATCGAGGAATCTCCTGATTTACATTTGCCAGTTGCATTATCTCAAGACTGATTTATTTTTTTCGGTTGTATAAGTTAGATAAGATAGTTAGATAAGATTAAGATAGAACGTTGAATCAATTTCATCTATCTTAATTACCAGATGAGAAAAATATAAGAAGATTAGATTAAGATAATAAAAGTTTACTTGAAACTCGTCGATGAAGTGATATAATAATTAATAATAAATATCAGAATAGAAAAAAGAGATTGATAATATTTGTAAATAACGTATTATTTTATTAATTATACAAATTATGTATTTTGAAAATCATATTCATTTCAATCATATTGTTAACAAAAGTACTCTAAAAAAGATTTCGATGAACTATCAATAATAAATGGATCGCGTCAAAGTCACACGTCCAAGTTCCAGGAGCATTAATTAAGGGACAAATTGATGCGATAAGGTAAAAAAGGATTTTTCTCAGAAAAAGGGGAAAGAAAGACGATCGTCGCTATTTTTAAAAGAATTGCCCACAGGGACGAAAGCTCAAGGTTCGAAGAGGCGTTGAAAAGGGACGGTCGACGTCAAGTATACCGAGAAGCAATTAGGCCGCTCCCTAAGGACTGTACAAGAGGCAGCTAATCTCGAATCTCGATTTTTTTAAAAGACCGCGATCAGAAGAATTGACTTGGTTCAAACTTTCGATAAGCCACCAGAGATCTTGTGACGCTTTAATTGTACGTCATACATGTAATGAATTATTAACCTTGTAATGTGTCTGTAGTAGCATTCATATGCCATTAATTTAATTTACATAAATCGTATCTTTATGATTTCATGTAAATGACGTTTTTAAAATTTCTTACGACATATCGAGTAATTCATTAAAGAGATTAGATCCTTAGACTTTATCGAAGTAGATAAAAATTATAAAATACCTTTAAAAAAATAATAATATATTAACATATTTATAATTGGTAATTTGATATTAACAATGTAATTGAAATTCAATTTAGAATATCGAATTTAAAATAAGATTAAGTAAATTATTATATTTCTTGTGTTTCTTTGTCACGAAGTTATAATAATTTAAAGATATATAATTTTTCAATCAAAATTTAACGATCTTTTAATATTAATAAGGATTATATTACAACCAGTTTATTTTTACTTGAGAAAGTTGACGCAAGATGGTGCGTGGAAATAATTATAATGAAGTTTCAGAAAGATGACGCTAGTGTAGCTAAAGTCAGCGAAATTTATATTCATGGCAGTACATCCCGCGCTGTGTTATTGACATTCGAGAAAAATACAGAACCACTATACATTATTTCCGAGCAAACCAACATATAATACGTTATATAAGCTCATTGGCGATACCCTTTCGACAGCATGATGTTGTTTCAAGGAGAGATAGAGCAGCTCTGTGTGTTTGCATCGTATGTCGCATAGTCGGGCAATGTTTCGGTGACATAACCTGGATGGTACAGTACATAGCTGCATAACCAGTTTTAGAGGATGACGCTCTGTTTACCAATCATCTTAGAGAAGACATGGTTGTTCTGTTTGGTTATAGTCCGATATCATTCTCAAATAGTAAGTTTTTAAATAAATAATATTTCTGAAGTGATAATTCTTTTTTTCATTTTTTTATCGAAAAATAGAAGTAGAAAAATAGAAATAGAAAAATAGCTGAGATTAATTTGACAATTTCGAACCTATGATAATTTGTAATTGAAATTTTGCTTACTTAGGAAAAGTAATTAGCTCTCATTTTAATCTAAAAACATAAAATCAGTGATTATTACTGTGATGGTTTTGTATAATCATCGAGGGATTTAGATTGAAATAGAATTTTTTTGTTTAATCTTTACAATCGTCATGTTTAACTTTGGAATAAAGTTAATTTAAAAATATTAGATTTTTCGTAATTAATTTTTGTAAATTTTAATTCATTTATATAAAGATATTTCTTATATAATTTGGTATTTGACAATACCAAATTAGTTGAAAAATGTTTTTGTTCTCGAATATTATGACAAAACATTTAAGAAATGTACAAAATTCTAATGAACTTTATTAAATCTTAGACCAAATGTATCTCATTCTTTTCTTTCATCTGTTTCTTATTTTATTATATATGATTAAAAATTCGTATTACTATATATGATTAAAAAATATATACATATTTTGTGACAATTCAAACAATAATTTTATTTTAATTTAAATTAAAAATTTAACTTTTTATCAGTAGGATAATAATTTTAAAATGTATGATATAAAGAGATTTTTTTGTCTTTCTGGCACAATTAATACGTACATATAAATTTTAAAACACATCATTTTATTTAATTCCAGAAAGAAAGTATATTCTATTAAAATAGATAAAATTAAGTCAATCAATTTTCATAGAAATAATGTTAAGAATTAATTTTATCGCGACTCAAATTTAGTTCACAAAGAAAAACTATTAAATTAATCCGTTTATCGAATATTGATTATTTATTTTCAAACAAGATAAATATTAATAATCTGTTTTATATTCAATATCTGTTAGACATTTGAACTTCGACAACATTTAATCTGACCTTCAATTATTATTCATTGAATAGTCTTGAATTGAATAGTCTTTCGATGTTAAGATGATAAGCCATGTATTCTTTCTTAACGAGATTTTACCAGGATTTTATTACTTTCTATTTTTCTGCATCAGTTGAAATTCTTATAATAGTTTTGAAATAATTCTTATTCTTAAGTGATATTCATAAGAGAAAAAGAATAAATATATTTTTAATTTATTTGCATTTTTGATTTGCATTTTCAACTTTTTTTTTAAATTTTTTTTATTTAATTTATCATCGATATAAATTAAAGAAATTCAATCGTTAATATTAATCAAAGATCGATATTTTTTTTTAAATACCAAAGTTAATCAGAACTGCTAATCTAGATATAATCAAAAACATCTAAATATCTTTTAAAAGGTATGGGAGAAAAAATAGACTTCGAAGAATAAATTTTATTTTATACAATCCACAAACATTTTTATTTTTCATTGAAAACGAAGAAGAAAATTAACTTTTCTTGATTCAATATTCTACGAGGAAAGAAAAATAATGTAAATCTCATATCGTGTTTAAAAACTGAATCAAATTTCAAGTTTAAATCAATCGAGAAATAAACAGAAAAAAAATTAAACAGAAAAGAAAAAAAAGAGTAAATCTTAGTAGATTCGATATCGTATGAAAAGATATAAATCTGTATAGATAATAATGTGATGTTCATTAAATGTACAATTTTTAACGTCTGTAAAATTATCAGCCATTTTAAGAAAAATAATAAAAAATAATAATCTCTTCTTTTTCCTGTTTCCTCTCTCTTCGCTCTTTCTCTTTAATCAAGACGTATCTCTAATGCAAGAGACACAAGAAACCAGACGGGGAACTTATTTCGCACGGCCTTCCCCCGGAGAGAGGACTTCACCTTTTTAAACCCCAAAAAGATGCAAGACTCCGTACGAGCAGAAACCAATTTGAAGACTCCATTTCGGAAGAGCACGCTTTTAGGTCAAGTGGACTCGGACACCGGAAGCTGAGCGGGTTATCTTCGTTATCTGAAGGGATAAGACGAAGATTAAGTCGATACATGTGGAACTTTATAATCGTATTTTGGAGTTTGGTTAATTATTTGAAAATCTTTGCCATTATCAAAATCTTATCAATTATCAATATTATTTAATCGTATACTTTTTAGGGTATATTCATTCCAGATCTAGTATTTTTCTATCGTTAAAAAATTGTTTAAGTTTCGAGAGATGAAGACTCGAAAGATGGTTTCTCGTTTCATTTCAAACAAATTTAAGATCGAGATATTAATATTCGAAGATCATTGAGAGGAGGTGAACATTTGAATCAATCAGATAAGAAAATCTGAAATTATAACATGACTTAATAAATATCTTTTGAATATATTGAGATGATTTGAGAACAATAATATGTATTTTGAACAATACAATGATAAGGTAATTTATTTAAATTCGGAACATATTACATTTGCGAATTTCTACACGTCCATTATGAGCCTCTAATTATCTATGTACGATTGTTACATTCAGCATTAATTCAACGAATGTCTCGTATCATGCATAATCAATGACTACTTATATAAATTCCAACACGTATACATTTGAATTAACAACTCGTTGAAAAACTTTTAATATTTAAAAGTTTAATATTTAAATATTACTTCGAGAAAATCAAGGTTATGATTTAAACGTTGCGTTCATTAATTTAAGAATTTAATTTAAGAATTCTGTTAACAAAACATCATTATAAATTATAATGCACCTTATTAAAAAGAATTAATTATTTTTTTTTTTTTTTATAATATACTTCTCTTAATTGCAAGTTTAATGTAATTACGAAGTCACGCAAGTTTTATTAAACGAATAGAATTTTTTAATATAATATAATTTCAAGAATTGAAAATAATAGAATGAAATGTATGCACAATATAATTTTCACACAATTTTTGACCTGATCTTAATCTTACGAACTATGAACTCTGGTGTTGAATATTTTTCTCGTTAATCAAGGAAATTAAAACGCAAATATATGTTTGTAAATTGTAATAGTTCTCTATGTAAAGTTTTCACACAGGATTAATATTTCACGAAATTTTAACCGATGTTCGTGGATTAAATTTTCATTTATATCACCATCACGCGTTGGATACAGATAAAAATATTTATACCTGGAATAACCATGGATTATATCCTCAACCGCGTTGCATTTTTCAATGAAGATTAAACACGCTTATACAAAAGAAAAAGATGATGCAATACGTTTAAATTAATCCTTGCACAACTCACTTAAAAATGATTGCTTATTCAAATAAGTATCACGATCTAAAAAAAAAAAAAGGATCAAATAATTTAGGATAACTTATTATAAATAATAAGTCGATTTAATTTCTCATTATGCGCATAATGCGCATAAATATTAACAAATATTGATATTTTAATATTTTAATATTTTAATGAAATTAAGAAATATAGTAATTTTTATCGTATTTCGTATAAATATCCACCGATTATCGATCTTGACAAAACCAATGTCCCTGTGATTACGATCTTAACTTCCGTCAAAAACATTGACGTCCATCGCTACGTCAATGTTGCCCGAACATTCGCGTGACCGTACGATATAATGAATAAAGTATCGGTTAATCATCACGAAGACCTTTTACTTTCTCCGAGAATGAAATATATATAATTCTGAGAATGAAATATTTAAGATTCGCCGATCGAAATAGAATATTACTATTTGAAATCGAGTAGAAAACGGTCGTGTGTTTAGTTGGTTTTTCGTCGATTAATACGACGTAGCTGGATACGCCAGCTTTTGACGCATCATCGACAATACGCGCCGTTTTCATCTACCTATCCCGTACCGCGGTTCGTTTGTTGCCGGAAATTGAAATTTTCATGTCGGTCTGTGCCGCGGATCCGAAATACTAATGGATCTGAAATAGCGGGAATAAAATGGTTGCGCGTCGGTGCCTTAATCAACGAGCTCTCCCGTCGCTTTTTTTATTTTTCCCTCTCGTTTTTCCCTTTCTTCTATACTTTTTTTTCTTTCTCTTTTCCTTTCTCTCTTTCTTTCTTTTCTTTTCTTTTCTTTTCTTTTTTTTTTCTTTTTCCTCTCCGGTCTGTTTGGAAACGAACGTGGCGGTGAAACGAAAGCACCGATATAAAACGCACAGTTAATTCTCGATTTCGGTGGTGAACCGTAATCCAACGGGGCGAGAGATCGAGCTTCATTTCCGGTTACGGGTCCGGGCAATCAGGAATCCGGCTAAACAAAGACCAGTCGGCAATTTGGCCGAGAAATCTTTCGGGTCGGTTGTGAACCAACCACGGATAACTCCATTACGAAGAGAGAAAACGAGTGGTATGTTGAGATGGAATGGAATTTCACTTAGCTTCGAAATACGAAGCTGAAACGTGTTAGGAAAGAGTTAGATTAGGAATGTTTAGTGCGAAAAGAAAGTTAAAAGTGATCAAAAAGGAAAACGTAAGTTCGATATGTTGGTATAGGTTATGATAGAAGTTATCTCGTTAATATCGCGAATGGCATTTCTAACGAGGAATTTCTAGCAGGATTTCTCCTTACGACACGTTCCACTTGTCACACGTTCATCTTCTGTCAGTCAAAAGTATACAGTAATAGTTGGAATATATGGTCATGAATTTGTCCGCTTATATGGTATCCCCTACCACTTCCTGATATTATTGGCAAACTTCAGTGCCATCTAAGATCTGCATCGACGATGATTTAATTAATATTTAATTATCAGAACAGGAAAAATATAATTCTTCTTTTATATTTTTTGTAAGATTTCTTTATTACTATTATTACTATTATTACAAAATTACTTTAAATTACACGAGATACGATTATATTTTATTTAATTCTTTCTAATTGAATAATAATTACTCTCTATTTCACTCTCATCATTGGCGCATGCGCGGTAGAACGAACCAGTGTCAATTTCACAGTGTATTTAAACTTAAACTAACCTATTTCATGACTTAACCGTATTATTTCCGCCAACTGTACGCAATTTCTTCGCGATCAATCACTGATCACCCACACTTCGTTTAAAATAGGAAGGAAATTGACGCGCCGTTGCGTTCACAGCTCCCCGATTTCTATTTACGAAGTTTATTCGACTCGATAAATGCCGATTTGCAATGACGACTGGGTACAGTCGGCTTCAAAGTGGCGTAAAGTCACGGCCGCCTCTCGTTGATACGATTTTTTCGATTCTGCCCCCCCAGCCGGCCTGCAAATATTTTGATTGGATCCGAACGAGCATCAACACTCCCGCGGGTGGTCCCCCATGCAAATTGTCTTCGTAAACGTTCTCCTCGAAATAACCGGTATGTTTTTCCCCGGTAATGAACATTCCAACCTCGGCTAAATGTCGTTGGGTTACTCGACAAAACTATAAAGGGAGGAAGTGAGAAAAAGTGACAAACAAGAGAGAATAACACAAGCTTGGATCCCATGCGAGGATATTCTAGAGCTACCCCCAGGAAAGCACATTGCAGTTCCATTTCTAATCCCGACGTAACAAACGGAATATAACCTCACTCCGCAAGTTTCAAAAACACGAAACTCTCTAGTACACGTTCCACAAACTAACGTTCAAAAGTTTTCTACGGTTACTCTGTCGTTGCTCGCATTTTTCTTTAATGTATTATCAACCAGTAAATCCATTATTTTCTACTGCATGAACTATGATGTAAATATACATATATTTTTTTTTAATTTTTTTAATTTTTGATTTTCATTCTGTTTTCAGGTAACTACGTTTTGTAAGCTGTTTGAAATTCTAGTAATTTCTCCTTTAGTAGGTAATGTTTTTTTATAATATTTTTTAAAACGAGTAATATATAACTTAATATATAACATTCTAAATTTACTTATCTTTTATTAAAATATTATTATCTTACGAAAAAAAAAATATATCATCCATCATTGCATCTTTATTTTATTTGGAAAAAAAATTCAATTTATAAATCACAGAAAAATTCGAACATCATGGATTTAAGATTAACAAATTAAGACGATACAAATTTAACGCAAAAAATAATCAGTGATCCTAAATTTTCGTACCATCCATATCCATCCATTGTATACATTCTCCATATACGTGTGTGTGTGTGTGTGTCGGCAAGCTTTCTCCTCGTTTTTCCTATTTTCAGCTATTCTCTACGGAAATCTTAGCAGAACATGACCGTGGTAATACGAGTGTCGCGCGAAGCCAGACGGGTTGCAGAAGGCAGGCGTTCCTCTCTGGCTTGTACCGATGAATACAGGCTAGACAGAGAAATATAGAGGGAGAAGGTCGAGCTGGGGTGTGTATCGGAGAGAGAATCACGGACTCTGCTAGAAAGAGTAGGGGATGTTGGTCGGAGGAAGAGGGAGAGAGGGAGAGAGGGAGGGGAGTACGGTCGAGCAAACGCGGTACGATCGATCGGTACTCCAGCAACCAGCGGGGGGTTCCCCGTATATAGACGAGTTCTTCTGCTCCCTGCACCACCACACCCACGCTTTCTGCCTTCTTTCATCCTCCGCATCGCTCATTCTCTATCTCTCTCCATCTCTCTAACACTCGGTCTGCGTCATTCACAGTCGCTCGGTTTCTTCGTAGCTCTTCGCTCGTATTACTTTTTTCCTTACGACGATTCTTTCGTTTCATCTCTGTCTCATTCGTTGCTCCTCCTCTGTGACGAACGACGGACATAAGCAGAAGCAGCTGTTCCAACAGTCGCTTTTCTTTTCTCTTTCGACGTCTACTGCCAAACCTTCTGGACATCATCCCCGCTCCCCGCAACTTTCGTCTGTGTCCGTTCCCATTTTCTCGCCGGAGAAACCTCGTCTTACACTCTCTTTCCCCTCTCGTTTTTCGTTACATGTGCGTTACATTTGTGTGCGTGCGTGCGCGCGCGCTACCGAGGAATCGTAACGAAGTCGTAATGAAAGACCCTTACGGTCTCGCGTGTCATAAAGTGTGTAGAGGGTTTTGGAGAGGGGAAAAAATGTTCGCGGCGGAAAGTTGAAACGTTGCCCGTCTAATTTCCTATTCGTTAGAGGGGAGAAGTTGGATGGATTCTGTTCCTCTCGACGTCTCAATGGTTACTGGTGTCGTCCAACGAGATGCATCAAGCGCCACCATATGATGATTTATCACTATTATAACAAGATAATTTTCATTTAACTTGGTTGGGATAAAAAAATTAAGCAAATTATACGCGAAATGGAATGCTCGTTACGTAATTGGTTAGAACTTGTACGCAAATACAATAGTTATTAGGATAATGAAATTAAGAAACAGTTAGTTAGCGTGATTTTTGGAAAATTTATTTACCACGAGTTAAAGTAGATCTAAGTATCGAATTAATATCGAAAAGAGAAACTCTTCGTTTATCTCCTTTAATTCCTTATACATTCT